CCCAGCGCGCAGGTGCGGCACAGCCAGCTGCCCTCGGGCACCTTCAGGATCCCGTAGCACGCCTGTGGGGCAAAGAGAGCACAGCAAACACCTCAGTGATGCTTTCACACAGCCTCAAACATCTCTCTGAGTTATTTTTACTCACAGGGAAAAGTGCAGGATGGTAAATAATTAAGGGCAGGTTTTTCAAAAGGTTGCGTCCTTATGGAGCCCTCTATCCCAATTACCATCGGCTTTAACGCACTTCAGTTGCAGGTTTGATGTGGTCAGAGAAACCCTACAGGTCTGAAAAACCAACTTTGCTCAGTGTATCTTGTGGGACAGTCACTTGTACACAGGCCTAGTCCTTTATCACAGAATGCTGAGGTTGGAAGAGACCTCTAAGATCATCAAGTCCAACCTATGCCCTAATACTTCAACTATACTATAGCACCAAGTGCCATGTCCAGGCTTTTTAAACACATACAGAGATGGTGATTCTAGCACCATGGGAAGAGCATTCCAGTACTTATTTTCTTGGTGAAAAGTTTTTTCCTGATATCCAACCTATACCTTCCCTGATGTAGCTTGAGACTGTGTCCTCTGGTTCTGTCAGTGCTGCCTGGTGGAAGAGACCAACCCCAGCTGTGTACAGCCTCCCTTCAGGAAGGTGTAGAGAGCAATAAGGTCACCCCTAAGCCTCCTCTTCTCCAGGCTAAATAGCCTCAGTTCCTTCAAATGTTCCTCATAGGCTTTGTGTTCCAAGCCCCTCACAGCCTTGTTGCCCTTCTCTGGATGCACTAAAGCATCTCAACGTCCTTCCCAGACTGAGAGGCCAGAACTGGACACAGCACTCAAGGTGTGGCCTCACCAGCACTGAGTACAGGGGGAGGATGAGCTCCCTGCTCCTGCTGGCAACACAATTCCTAATGCAGGCCAGGATGCCATTGGCCTTCTTGGCCACCAAGGCACATTGCTGGTTTATATTCAACCAGCAATGTTTCCAAACACTGAATGACAATAGAAACTTGTTAAAGCTGGGAAGGAAGGACAGGCTGATGGGAAGGCACTTGCCAGAGTAAGAAGCATCCATGGGAACAAGATAAAACTGTATATTTTACATTAAGAACATTTCTGAAGTACCACAGAAAGGTGACACACAGCAGTGCTTCCTTAGCACAGTTCTCTGGAATAAACCCCACCTGTGTCCCTACTGATTGCCCTTTTTTAGAACAGTTTGCTACCACCTGACACCGTGCTGCTGCCATACCTGGTGCACACAGATATTGCATTTGTCACAGAACACCATTTCATTGCCATCCTCTCCATCTGGAGACTGGCACACGTCACAGACGACGTCCTCGTCGTACTCGATGCCCAGCCCTTCCTCCGTCTCGATGGCGTGGCTCATGTTATCGTAGCAGCGCTGCTCAAACTCCTCCATCACCCTTTCCATGGTGTACTCATCCAGCTCCAGCATCCCTGAAAAACAGCAGCTGTTCACATACTTGAAGAAAAGAGTGATAACCATCACCACAACCAGCTCCACTTTGTTTCTGAACAGCCAATCCCTACACAGACACGTTTCATTCCTGTTCCAGCATAAACCAGGGAAACTGTTAAAAAATGGCAAAGCTGTCTTATAACTGTATTAAACTAACAAAAGTGGAGTGTCCAAATCTTTCAAATTCTAAGAAAAACTTTCCAAGACTGATTTTGTCCTAGTTTTGTTCTCATTTTTCCTTCTGGGACAGCACCATCCAACCACCAGAGCTTTTGTTCCAATTCTGCCACCCAGATGTTGACTCTTTGATGAAAGATTTGGAAGTATTTTGAACCAAAAGTTATGGAGCAGGGGGAGAAAATACATGAGAAAACCTTCTATGATACTTGGAGGGAATCTGCAATTTCTAACAACAGTTGTTGGTTTATCCCAAGTTCCAACCCCAACAAGATGCAATCCCAACTGAGGTCTCCATCAGAGCCTACAACAACAAATTAATTTGTTTTAAAAAGTGAAAAACTGTAATAAATGCAACATCAAAATATGGGACAATAACTAAATGCAATATCTAAACTGAAATTTCCTCTTTTCCAACAGCATCCATCAGAAAATTATTCATGACACACAGTTACAGACCCATTATGTTGTGGTATTTTATAATTCAGATTTTTTTGGAAATTGAAAGGCCTCCCTTCTCAAGGAGCTCCCCCAGTTTATATCCTGGGCATGACCTTCTGTCATGGAGAATATCCCTTTGGTCAGTTTGGGTCACCTGTCCTGGCTGTGCTCCCTCCCAGTTGCTTTTGCTCACCTGCTCCCTGACAAAGCATGAAAGAAAAAAGGAAAGAACAAGGGAAAAAAAGCCCCTGACTTAGGATAGGAACAGACCCCAAAATATCAGTGTGTTATCAACACCATTCTCATTACAAATCCAAACCACATCACCTGGTAACAGCTACTGAGAAGAAATTAGCTCTATCCTAGCTGAAACTAGGACAAAGAGGAGACGGCAACCTCGGGATGGGTGTTTTAACAAGAAAACTCTCCTTTCAGCTTTCCCTCTGAAAAACAGCCAAAAAATCCCACAAAACAAAGAATAAAAAAACTCTCTAGCTCCTCCAGATCAGAAGACAAACACTCCACAAAAGTACTTCCAGCTTCCCTTGCTGACAGGTAAATCCTTGCAGCAGGGATCAGTGCATCCCATGCTACCCAAACTGAGCAGTGAAAAGCAGCAAGAGGGAACATCCAAAATCCTGCTGATGAAAGGATTTTGCCCTGCAACCCAGAACTGCTGCACCAGCAAAGCAGATGATGGCAGGTTTTACACCAGCTTCCAACTGAATCCTATCTGCTCTCACTTTGTAAGTGACCCTTGGAGACGTGACTGACTGCTTGTGTTGAGTTTTTAGGGTCCCCAGGATGAGGGAAGAGATGAATCTGATTCCATGCTCTCAGCCATGAAGGCTGATTGTTATATTATATTGTATTGTATTAATGCTATACTAAACTATCCTAAAGAAAGAGAAAGGATACAGACAGAAGGCTTAACAAGAATAAATGATGAAACTCATGACTGACTCCTCAGAGTCTGACACAGCTGATGGTGATTGGTCATTAAGTAAAAACAATTCACATGAAACCAATCAAACTTGGACCTCTTGGTAAACAATCTCCAACCACATTCCAAAGCAGCAAACACAGGAGAAGCAAATCAGATAATTATTTTTTACATTTTTCTCTCAGGCTTCTCAACTTCCCAGGAGAAGAAATCCTGGTGAAGGGATTTTTCAGAAAATATGACAGTGACAGGCCTGTGCTTTTGCAAGGGTTACAGAAAGGGGAGCAGGAGCTGCAGCTCCTGTTCAGATGCTCACAGTCATTCTTTTACAACAACCACTGCATGTTCTCAGTACCTGAAGCACTCCTACAGGGATCAAAGGAAACACAGGGAACTCATGGCCCCAGGGACACCATAAGGAAGTGCTCCAGGTGCAGATCAGGAAGTAGCTCACTTTTCAAATGCCCATTTGTAGTATCTGCAGTGTGGAGTGTCTGACCAAGCACCCATGTATATCTTTCAAGACCCCCAACATACTGCCTGGTACTAACATGAGCATTTCCTTCCCTCTGCATACAGCAGAACTGAGTGGGTAATGATTTAGAGCAAACAAACCCCAAAAAACTACACCAAAACCTGAGATCCAACAAATTCTAGCTGTTCACTGTGCCATGTGCAGCATGTACCTTTAAAGGTTATGCTGGTGTAGCAGAATGGGGCTTCCCTGCAGAGGTACAAATCTGCCCCTCTTGTGCTGCTCACATCCCACTACAGGAGCCCTCATCTGGTTTTGGCAAAAAAACAGACAGACTGGATACCAAACAAACAATAAAAAGTAGATTTTTCCCCCAAGAAAAGCCAAGGGAACTTGCTGCTGCTGTTCTCCTGAAGATAACTGGAAAGGTAACCTAAACTCTGGAACCATAAACTGAAACTCTCTAAGCCCAACACTAAACCTGAGCAGGGCTGATGTGAGATCTGGAAAAAGGCCTGGCTTTTTTCAAGACATCATCTGTTTCTTTCATGTGTTGGTTTAGAATGAGAAACAGAATTATAAATGGTCATTTTGTGGTTTACCAATTCTTCAGCCATGCCAGCAATGGGCTCCAGCCAGGTAAAGCATGTTTGACTAAACTGCAGCCCAAAGCAGTTGCACATAGTATCTATGTGCAACAAAAGCAGGGAACTGCCACAGGGCCAAAACAAAAACCAAAGGTGTTCACCAACATGTCCAAACCTCTTCCTGGCACAGCATTTTCCCTCTGCCAAACAATGTTTTGGAACTACAGCACACAGTCACAGTGAGGTTTGGGAGCTCCCTCCAATAAATCAGTGCAGGAATTCCTCCCTGATCCATTCCCTGTGCCACTCAGCTGGCACAGATGCTCTAAAGCTGCCAAACAACTTGTCTTGCCTTCTCTGCACTGAACACCATGAGCTAAAATAATGAAATAGGACTACCTGGGAAAACTACCAGGGTGGTCTCTCTGATGCTCCCTTGGAGAACCAGGATGGCAAACTGGGAACTTTGTGAGATGGAAAGCAGTAGAGAAAAAAACCAAAACATGTGACCAGATTCTGACCAGGTCTAAGCAGATACAACACAGGAGTTACCAAAATCTATCTTAGGGCTTAATCACATCAGCTCTGCTCACATGATTACTACCTCCTCATACATCTACTACTTCTTCCCACTGCTGCCTGTGGAAACCCAGGGCACTGGGAATATTTCTCTGTCTGCTCTGGACTGTCCTGACCCCTAGGGCAGCACTGACTTTGACCCTCATTCATGGAGAAAGTTTCCTAGACTTCAAGACACACTAAAATCCACAAAAGTGTGAGATAGATTATAGAGAGTAGTGTTAAGTGTATCACTTAGTGAGAAATTTAAATTTTGGGATTTTTAGTATGCTGTAAATAGAAGCAAGATGGAGGGCACAGGGTGTCATCCTAGGTTTCTTCTTCATGGGTTTGGGCAGCATATTGGGTAGCATTGGGCAGAAAAGTCTGCATTGCATACTTCCAAAGATCAGTTACCAGGTTAAAAAGGAAAATAATCTAGGTGTCAGTTCTTAATTGGATACCTTATTCTTAAAAGACCTTGTAACAAGAGATTGTTGGCCATTTTGTGTTTTCTAATGAAAAGCTGCCAAACTCACAGTAATGAGACTGTTTTACTGGTGAGAAATAATAAACACCTGAGTACAAACACAAATTACTGTCTCAAGCGCCTTCAATCCAAACCCAAAAGAACCAACGACCGGTACCCCCTGAAATTATCCTTAAGGCTTCCAGCTTCAAAAAGAAACAAAAAGGCAGCAAATCCCTGAGTGCTCACCCATTTCTTTGAACTCCTCATTGGCCAGCTGCAGCCATGCCACGTCCACGTCGTTGAGGTCGTAGCGGCACACGCTGTCCGCCAGGGTCCGGATGTCCACGTAGCCCAGCTCCGGCGGCTCCGCGCCCGAGGACACGATGAATTTCCTGGGCCGCGTGAAGGTGACGGCTTTTGTCTCGGACACCACTCTGAAACAGACGAGGCAGGCAGCCGTGAGGAGGGAGGCTCAGCTCTGCGAAATTCCACATTCTTTGCTCTAAGTGACCAACAAGCAGCAGCGGCAGCCACCTAACTGTCCTGGCAAACACCTGGCACCACTGAGGTGGGAAAACAGTTCCAGGCACTTCCAGAACTCATTGGGGTAAGAGTTTAACTGGAGTTGTCTAGAAATCCAATTCATTGCCAGAATTCTAAATAAAATTAAATATTTGAGGACAGAGCAGCGCTTGCTCTTACCTGAAATTCAAACTTTTAAAGGCTAAGCAGGGATGCTGTATTTACATAATGGCTGCCATATATACACACGGTAAACTCTGGTTTAAGACTTTTTTTTTTTTTTTAACTAAAATACTGACCGTAAGAACATTCAAGGAAAAAATGAAAAAAAACATTTCTAGCTATCTCAGTAGAGGACATTGCCCTTTCTCTTACCCAACAGCACACACTGACACTGAGCTTGGATGAAACCCACCTCACAACACAACGCCAGTGCCTCCAGGAGCAACAGCCACGCTCCAAATGCCTGCCTCGTGCACTACCACTGGAGGTGAATTTTTGGGGTGCTGGTGCCAAAAGGGAGGAGATTGCACCACCCTGTGTTGCCACAACTCTCTGCTGGGAACAGCCTAAACCCCACCAGGAGCAGGACAGCCTCCATACCTACCCCGCTCTATTCTGTCCTCAATGTGTTAACTCCCAGCAGAAACCCTGATCTGCTGCTGCTGCTGTATTTGCACACAGATCTCTGTAAATCCTCTACTAATTTCAGTCATGCACATCCCTCAAGCTTCCCCTCTTCTAGCTTATTTCAGAGAAATGGTGAGCAAGAGCCAAATGCTGAATTTGGAGCTTCTGAGGTGTTGTGAAAAATACAAATGTGAATGGCCTTGCCAGCCTAGCTGCGCTGCCCAAACTGTTTCTGGTCATATTGCAGAGTGTTCAAGGGTTACAGACTACTGTGTCTTCACAGAGAATGCACTTTAAACTGGGCACTTCTCTATCATAAATTCCTTCCTGAGCACCTCTCTGTGAAAACCATAACCTCTGGGCAGCACCTTGCCACAGCAGTGGCACAGAAGAAACAAGCACAGTGACTCTGACCTCAAAACAACTCCCTTTCCTGGCTTTATTTCTGCTAGAAAGAAGTTAAAAAAAAAAGGCAACCTTTACTACACACTGAAAGCCATTGAGCTGAATTGTCATTCTGAGCACATGTTCACAGTGAATCTCCACACAGCCTCACTTCTGTCTCCTGCTCCTCTGCCCTCACCAGTCATGGCCTTTTATTCACTGCTATGTTCTCCCCGTACAGCCTTGGCTCTATGATCTGCCTATTGCTTATTCTATGTACAGAACCACCCTCTTCCCTCCCAAGTCAGGCTCAGAACTGTTCCTACACTCCAGCAGCACCAGGGCAGGGCTCTCTGAGTGTTCTGTGAGGGAGCAAAGAGAACAATACCCAGGCATCAAACGGCCCCTGTGACCAGCTAGGACTACACAAGAAATCAAGGAGTGGTGCCTGCTGTGCCAATACCTACCCCTGTGCTGCCTTCTTTCCCTGCCTCTCACCATCTTAAACTTGGGCCAACAGCTCTATTGCCTTTGGCAGAGAACAGCTCTCTCCCAAATGAGTACCTGGGCCTGCTATAGCCACCAAAGCACCTCCTGACAGACACAGGGCAGGGATCCCCTGGGAGATTTTTCCTCAGGAGTGTGTGGCCCTCCCACAGCCTTGGGAGGTGCTGAAAGAGGAATCAGAGAGGAGCAGGCAGTGTGAGTGCACATGTACAGTGTGTGAGTGTGTCTCTGCAGGGACTGGGACAGCTCAGTGTGGAGCAGGGAAAGGGTTCCCATCTCCTGCACTGCAGCGCAGAGGGCAAAATGCCACCTTGTCCTTGGAGCTCCAGGTCCAACCAATCCTTCAGAAGAAGGATGGACAGATTTCCCAGATGTGCAGGTTAGCCCCTCCTAGTGGGGCTCTCTGCAGGTGGCTGCACAGAACAAAATCAACACAAACTTTGCTGAGGCCCCCTTTATCCAAGGCTAAAGCTGGCAGATACAAACCTTACAAGAAGCAATCAGTGCTCCATCATCACAATTTTTTTGCTGTGTACCAAGGACTGAGCTGCTGTGGTCCCACCAGCAGTGGTGGGTTGTTTGGTAATGCCTTATGGGCCAGCCTGGACTGACTCAAAGAGATCTAGAATGATTAAATGGCAAAAATCCTTGCTCTTATTTTCTCCAATCCCTACTAAGCATAAAATGGGCTGCAGCACACTCCTGCCCTTAGGATTGCAATGTTTAATTTGAAACAGGAAATAGTATCTATGTGCAACAAACATGGCAAGGAAAATAAGGGGCTTTTGGATAAGAGCTAGAAAATCTCACATTATTTAGTTACATGAACATCTGGATGGTTTTTAAAACAGTTGAAATGTTGCACAATCAATTTCTAAGGTTAATAAAAGAAATCACAAAAAAACCCTATGAAAACAAAAGAAATGCTGTGTTTTCTCTAGCCCTTAAGCCTGGTTTGTCCAACTGTTCCTTGAAAAGAACCTATGGCTTGGAAATAAGCAGAAGGAACACCAGCCAAGGGCTCTTCCAGCAATGATAAGTGAGCTCAAGTCTGGCTTAAAAATAGAAGCTATTTTTAATGCTCTCTCATCACATCCCATTGCCAAAAACAGTCCTTTGACATTTGTGTTCCACATGGGCAGAACAGGCCTGACTCTTGACCTCTCTGACCATTCCAAAAGGTGATTCCAGGTTCATCTCTGAGAACCAAGACCTTCCTGTGCAACAAAGCTCAGGAAGCCAAGGCAATGCAGCACAAACATGTGTGTATTTATTCCCATTCCTCCAAATGGTACCTGGCTACTGGTTCTGGGATGGTCCCTGGGCTAACAGGCACCTGAACTCCCTTTTCCCACTCCTGCCTCCAGGGATCTGCCAGCACATAGTACTCGTCAGGGTTCAGCTGGAAGGAGTCATGTAACTTCATGGCAGTGATCAGGTCCGTTCTGAACACCTGCAAAGAGAGGGACCAAGAGAGAAAAACAAAAAACAGAGACACTGACATTTGATATTGAGCATTGACAGCTTCAGGGTAACACAAGGGCACTGTGCCACCAGCCCACTGCAGAACAGGGATTGGCTTCATGGCAGGGAAAGGGTGGCTGAAGGCACAAATACTGACTGCATGATTTCCCCTAACTGCACTACACGTCCTGCAGCTCCTCCTGCACTGCACACTTGCTCTAAAAGGTGTTACTCGCTTTCATCTCCATACTGGCTGCAATAAAAGCTGCAGGAACTCCAAGCAGCACACAAAAAAAAAAAAAAGATTCATTTTTGCTCCCAGGCTTTTTGGAATTTTCTTTTTTAAATTATTGGAGCTCTGACTCATACCAAGACATTCTAGAAATTCCCTGTGGTAGAAATCAAGGCATGACTCCACCATGACCAGCCTCAAGAGGAAATTCTAAGAAGATGACTCTTTGTGCAAGTACTTATAAAAATAACCCAAAAGATAAAAAATAAAACCAAACTGGAATTCTGGAGGCAGCTCCCCATTCAGCACAGCTATTTATTCAATCAGCTCCAGACACCTCTGTGTCACAGCTGTAATTTTCCTTTGCACAGGCATCAAGCTCTAAAGCCAGCAGGATGTTTAGCAACCTGTGGGTTAGCAGCCACCAACAAGCAGCCATGCTGTCTTCAACAAGGCACAGAATGAAATAAAAAAGTGATTCACTCCTGTGGCAGCTTCAGCCAAGTGCTGCTATCACAGGCATCCCAGCTACAAGCCTGCACTTGCTGGCACGAGTTCCAACCCTTCCCACCCCCTGCTCCCTGCAAAAGGCAAGGCCCTCCTCACCTCCACAACACTAATTTCTAACTACTCCATGCCTCATTCAAAGGAGAGGGTTAAAAAGCAAGGTGACAACAAGATTAGCACCACCAGGACAAGAAGATGACAGGTAGAGCTCTCTGCAGACTTCTCAGTCAGTGGTGGTCAGAACCAGCATCCACAGAGCCCCACACTGCAGCTGCAGCAGAAAAAACTCTGGATTTTCAGGGCAGTGCTCTTGGACTCCTTGTGAGGCTGCTCAGGGGGCAAAGTGAGCCATCCTCCCAGCCCCAGAGCAATGGCCATGCTGCCACCTCAGCCCCAGCCCGCTGCTGTGTGTGGCTGAGGCAGAACCAGATGTGCACAGACAGCAACCCAGGCAGCCACTTCCATCACCCACCACCCGCACACCTGAAAACCCAGGATTTTTGGGAAGCATTTTAGTCTATCTGATGGCTAATTACACTTCTGACAATGTTTTCAAGTGTGATTTGCCTTGCCACATCTCAAAACCTGTCCTCCCTCCCAACACACACATACTGTCCCACTTCTGTCTACATATGTTTCTGTTTCTACTCTGGTTTTGTCATTAAAATAGCATCAAATCATGACATTTTTCTTAACACTTGTCTTGACATGTTCAGGAAAAACTGCCAACATTAAAAAGTAAAGAAAAAGATTGCCATACGAAGAACAGGGTGAATGCTGGTAATGAAATATAATGAGATGTTTAAAACAATTAAATTACGAGTCCTGTGAGGCTTCAATCAAGAAATGAAAAGTAAGCCACAAAGTAAATGGGCTCACAAAACAAACAAGCACAGCTGGCCAGGGGATTCTGCACTTTTAAGTGATTTGACTTAAAGCAATCAAAAGTCAAATTAAGAGAAGACTAAAAATATAAAATGGGACACAAATCTTGCTCAATCTCAGAGCCAAAATAACTCAGGCTCTTGGATAAATTTGTCACAGAACTCCCTCAGAAGCAAAGCTAATGCAGCACCTGACAGCCAAGAAACTCCTTTCCCAGGCCAGTGGCCCCATGACACCATTCTTTCTGCTCTGGCTGCTGATGCAATCAGAGTGCCTGGAGGAAAGCAGAGCTTACAGAAGTGCTGGCTCTCAGAAGCACTGAACACTTCAAAGCTAAAGGATGAAACCCTGGCCACGCTGAAGTCAGTGGGAATTCTGCCACCAAGTTCAATGAGCCCAGGATTTCACCCAGGGAGTCCCTGAGTGTCACTTTGCTGCCAGCAGTGAGCAGGGACAGAGCAGGGGGGAGAGGCTGGGGAGCAGAGCTAAAGGGAAGCACAAGAGAAGCTCATCCAGACTGAGAAAACAGGAGAGAACAGCACAAAACTGCAGAGATTCTGACAGCAAAAGGTAAGGGAGAGGAGAAAGCAGAAGCACACAACCCAACAGCAAGACTCCTAATTATCTCAGATGATTTCTTGATAGCCTTTCACAAGGTGGTTCTCAAAAGGAGGTATAAGGGGCTACTTCTAAGAGAGGCATGAAAGGTAACTAAGGAAAACAAACCTATTGTTAACAAGAATAAATTCACCAGGGATCTCCACATTGGCAAAAAAAAAGGTCTTTTATCAGCCAACAAGCAAAGGAGTTTGGAAACCACCAGTACTAGGCACAGTTCACACTGAATGGCATTCTCCTGGTGAAAACTCTTCTCTGAGACTCAGGTACACTGTCATTAGGGAGATTAATAAAGCACTTTTTCCTCAACACCACCCACTAATGTGTAAGGAATACATGTCCTGGGCAAGTGCAATAAATGAGAAATTCCATTCCCCCAGAGCTAATCCTTTCTTTGCAGCTTCTACAAAGTCTGCAGTGTAGTATTTTGCCTGAAGCCAGGAAGATTCAGCAAGAACATTTCCAAAGAAATGGATCACATTTTGTGTGTTACTAACAGCTGATCCAACCTGGAAAGTTCAAAGATTTTTATCTCCCCTGATAGCATTTCTTCAAAGCACTAGACAAGACAGAACTGTCAGGAAGCAGACTTCTAGTTTGACAAGCACTTTAGCAAAGATCACACACACAGAGCCCCAGTACAAACTATGAAATAAATGCACCTAATGTAAATTTCCACTGTTCACAAATCAAGCTGCAAATAAACCCCAATGCCTAAAATAGCACAAGAAAGACTCTGCAGCTATGCTGAATGGGTGTCAGACTACAACAAAATTCACAGATAGAAACTGGTGCTGGCAGGAGCTGTGCCAACAGCTGAACTCTCTAATCTTCGGGGCAGGGGGGAGAGGGGAAGAAGGGGTGAGGGAGGGAAAGTATGTGCCAGCCAAAATGTAGGGAGGAAAAAAATTTAAAAAATAAAAAAAGTAAATGAGAAAAAAGGGATCCATTACCAGAAAAGATGGATGGATATATTGTGTGTACAGGCACTTTGAGAGATGTAACAAAATGCAAGCTAAATTCCAGAAATACCTCAGAAGGTTTCCGGTCCTCATCTCTGGAGCACGAAGTCCTGCGACGCTGAGATCTGGAATGCTGGGACCAGGTAGACAGACCTAGGATACAGAAATGATAATTTGCAGGTTTCTGTGACAAACCCCCAGGAAACTCTTTCAAAAGCCACTCAATCCTGATTTTCTGTGGTCACTCTCCTGGGTGTGTTCTGTTTCCCATTTCCCAGCTGAGGTGTGCCTGTCCTGGCTGCACTGCACTTACCTGCCTTCCACCCAGCATTCCAAAAAAGCCACTTCAGAGCATCCTTCCCCCTGAGCATCAATAAATGACTTCCTGCAGATTAATAACTGACCAGGAGCTCTGCCAACAGCCTGGGATGTACTCTTTGAAGCTAATGTCCTAGATAGCTACACTGGTTACCTGATTTCTGCTGCAAAATGAAGCACACTGCCACACACGCACAGCAGAGCCCACAGAACAAGCTGTTGTTTCTTCTCCCCAGCAAATCTCCCAGTGTGGCTGCATGATTTTTGTCTGCATAATTATTCATTACATTCCAAACAAATTATACCTTTTTGCCTTGAAACTGTTTGACAGAGTCTCTGTCAGCTTTCAGAAATATTGTAACAGGAGGGAAGGAAAAAGAGAAAGAATCTGCACTCCTCTGACAAGATAGTGCTTTGACACCAGAATGTATTATACCTGTGCAAATCAACCAATTTCAACACAGTGAGATTCACAGGTACAGCAGGCATTTTCCACTGCCAACTACACAGCAGCAATGAAAATAAAAAGCCAATAAATCTTTCTGGGTTGCAGAGATGAAGGACTTGTACTAGGTCTATCTGATAGGGAAGCTAAGTCCTATGTCATTAACTCAGAATTTGCAGATCTGGACGTTAATTGTAGCGTTAATTGTAGACAAATTGAAGCAAACTGATGCAAAAGGCTTCCCACACTGCTCATTCCTTCACTGTCTGTGCATAAACATGGTAGGAGTAAAATGGGTAAGGCTACAGTCTGCAAGAGCAGCACCACCTCACACCAGCCCACAGAAACCTCTCGAGGATCAGAAAGACAGGATGGGATAAGTTCTCTATTAAAAATGTTAGAAAACCATTGTAGAAGTGAAGTAGCTGTTCAACATTTTCATTGGAAAGGTATGACTGAAAACATCTTGGTTTTAGTTATCTGTTTGTCTTCTCTTTTCAGTTAGTGATACATTAAGTAATCTGCCCTGATAAAACCTCTCTGGAACACAGCAATGAATAACAGACATTACACAGAATGTGCATAATGGCCAAAATTGATGCAATGTTCCCAAGAAATAGCTAAAAATCTTATCTCTCAAGGTAAGAATACAGAGAGGATGCTTTTAAGCAAATACTCGTGTTTTAATATAAGAGATGGTGAAGTCATTGGCACTCTTCCCTCTTTCTATGAAGGGGAAAAAAAGAAAGAAAAATAATAACTGACTGCCATTTATTAAAAGCCAGACTTCCAAGATCATTTAACTACCAATTGTTCCCTTGAAAACTGAAGAAAAAACCCAAGCAGGAGTACAAACTTCTTGTGAGAATCCTATCAGACCACCCTCAAACTCTCCTTAAGGTGTCAGAAGGGAATAAGTAAAATCTCTCACAAAAACTCTGAGATGTACAGCTAAAATGCATGACAAAAAATCCAGATTTATTTCCTGCAATGCAGCAATGTAAATATTAACATTTTAACACTCAGACAGAAGTGATTTCTTTAATCAACAGCCTCCCTAGAAGACACAGAGCACATACACACCCACACAGATTACTATTCAGTTCTCATGGGTTCTGATATTTTCCATTGGCAAGACATTAATATCTGGCCAACTAGCTGCCACAAGTCAGCACCTGGAAATTTCCAGTTCTTTTGTGGATCTGAGTGGTTTTGTACACTGTTGGACCTGGGAGAGAGAGCCTGCTCACAAGAGAAAGAATCAGGAACAACAAATTGTATTGGCAAGGTGTGTTTGATTCAAGTTTTGGTGAGTATTGTAAATGCAGGCAACCCCAGCGAGGAGAGAGAATGATGCATCTGACTCCATCTTATCAGAAGGCTAATCTATTACTTTATTATGCTGTGTTATATTAAATAATACTACACTAAACTATACTAAAGAATACAGAAAGGATACTTACAGAAGGCTAAAAAGATAATAATGAAAACTCGAGACTCTCTCCAGAGTCCCAGCACAGCTTGGCCCTGATTGGCCAATGAGTGAAAACAACTCACAGCAGAATGCAATGAAACAATCACCTGTGGGTAAACAATGTCCAAACACATTCCACATGAGCACAACACAGGAGAAACAAATGAGATAAGAATTGTTTTTCTTTTCTCTGAGGTCTCTCTCACTGCCTTTCAGCTTCCCAGGAGAAAAACCCTGGGTGAAAGAATCCTGTTCAGGGAATGTGAATGCCACGGGTGAGAGATGAGTCTGGAGGATTTAACACAGCTGTTCCCAAGTAAGGCAAGCATCTGGCAAAATTAGTCTAGTGGCAGTGTGATGTACTTCTGGGTCTTTACCAGTGTCCTTTAATTCAGCTCTGATGACAGTTGATCATAAACTGAATTAAAAGAGAGTATGGGCAGCTTTTTCCAGGTCTCTCTCATGCCACAAAGAAGCTACAAAGGTGAGGAGTAAGCCAATCCCTGCCATATCACCCATCTCCATTTCCTCACTGTGTCATCTTACACATCAGAACAAGTGTCTTAAATGCACCCTTCTGTGTCCATGTACACAAGGGTTTGGTCACTGGATTAATTAACTGTTCCACGTTTCACAAAAGGGCAACTAACTCTTATCATCAAAACTACAGGAGCTTCACTTTAAAGGATTTTTTAAGTGGTGTATGAAAGCACACTACGTAAAACTTCCATGCTTAAGAGACAAGTCAAACACAGCCAGCCTTCCTCAGCATTTATTATAATGAGGGTTTTTTTCCACTGAATAAGGAAAGAAAGTTTCTCAGGTAGTTCTGTAACAGCCTCTTCCTTGCACACAACACTGGTGAACTCACAGTGGAAACACTGTTACTGAAGGGGCTGCTGGATTTTTCTGAGCAGTGCAAACTACATAATGCTGGGAGAAAACAGTGGAAGAATTCCTCATGGGACTGAGGTTTTACTACACACTGCAGCTAGCAGATGACCTTTGGCAAGGGCTCCACGTCAATAGGGAAAACATTTACTCACTGAATAAACAAAGCCAGACTGTAAGCCTTGAATTCAGATTCAAACCAGCACCACTGCTTAGACAAGAAAGGAAGAAATTGAAAGAGCCAGCCAAATGACAACAAAATATCCAGCCCATAAGAGTATTGAATCTAACTACTTCTGAAATCCCAAACAGAGTTTCAATTCTGCTTCCATCAAAGCTAATGGGAAAATGTCACTGTCTTCACCAGTGCCAAGCCCAAGGCACTGAATTTCCCAAAGCCCTCATTAATAAGCCATCCACCCACTCTGCCTACACCAATAGAAGTGCAGGAGGAAAATTTAGGATGTTATTTGTCTATTAAGCATCCTTGCCATATTTTCAGACTTAATCCAGCAAAGGGACCTCACTGAAAGCAGCAATTCACAGCCCATTACACCTCCTTCAGTGGTTACTGATCTGATTTGTACATCTGAGTGCATGCAGAACCACCCCTGGATTATACAGAAGGCAGAATCTACTCTGGTCAAAACAAAACACAGGATTTAAAAAAAAAAAACAGCTCTTCTGTACTGTAAGAAGCACATGAACCTAGCTCAGTGATTTCAGGAAGATTCCAGACACTTCACCAAAATCATTCTCTTCCATTAAGTATCCAAAATCACTGTGTTCATCAAGTTTTAAGAGCACTAGCCCTAGTCCCAAACTGGGTTAGGATCACCAAGACTAGAAAAGCACCTAAAGATCAAGACAAGAGTTAAACTCTGTTATGGTAAAACAGAATTAATTTTTTTTCAAAAATCGTAAGGCAAGTCTGAATCACTGGGATTTGGAAGATATAAAAGTTGTGTAAGATACCATTATATACCTCATGGGAAGAATGAGTTTCTCAGCAGATGGAAAAACAGTGAGATGTTAAGAGAGCCCATGCTACCATAAGCCATGTGAGAAACAGTAAATATGAAAAATACACAAGTCCAAGGCATGAAGCCAAATACAGACATCCAAAACATGCATTTCCATCATTGTTTAGACATCAGAGATAAAAGGGATCTTATTAAGAGTTACATGAATGGATGAACACAGTAGCCTACTGAGCATCATCACTCTAAGAGAGAGACCAAGATTATTTGGATTCTCTCACAGTTCAGATTCTTTCAGATAACCAAGGTGTTTGTGTGTTTTAAAAGGATTTTATCACTGAGAACAAAGGCAGAGGGATCCTACTCCTATTACCTGCTCTTAGTTCTCCTTTTGCATTTATCTACTTAAAGGAAAAAAGCAAAAAGGAATCCCAAAGCATGAAAAAGGTGTCATCCTCAGCAAGGGAGGCAGAGCTCTAACACACCAGTGGTGCTGCAAAGGATTTCTCAGACTCAAAGAGGAATTTTTTTCTGTTCCCCAAAGCTGCTATGAACACTTCACACTGTAAATACAGTGTTCTTATAATACTGCCATGGGGTGTATGTAACACACACGCCTCCTGATAATAAAAGAAAGCAATCAAGGAGTGTGCATTCTTTTTCCCCACTTGTGAAGAACACAGGCTTCCCAAAAGGAAAAACTTAATCAATTTTAACTGCATCATTTTATTAAATGATCTGTCAAGAATACGTTTTCATCCCAAGGAAAAAAAAAAATCCAATCAAAACAGAAAATTGCTTGGAACCAATAAAACAATTCAAAGCCTCGGGGAATTCTACCCCACAACTAATACACTGCTCAGCATGAGCAGAGAAGTCTCAGCTATTAGGTATCATGCACAAGGCTGTTGTAAAGCCACCTGTGAGGCACCCAGCTGTGTCCCTGCAGAACTACCTGCTGCTGCAGCCTCTGAACACTTCAAAGCCTCACTTCTTTACACTTCTCCCACAGTAAATCCACTGCTGCTCCCCTGCTCCAGCAGGC